GTTCGGCTTCAGATCTTTAGCCAAGCCGTTTCTAGAGCCAATACTTTATTAGTAGACCCTTAGCCAAGCCGATAATCGGCTCGGCTTAGCCGATCGGCTTGCGGCTTAGCCGATCGGCTTGCGGCTTAGCCTTAGCCGTTCGCATCACTATGTCCACCCTAAAGAATTCTCTGTCGAGATGTGACCACTTTTCTCTATTTACCAGTTTACAAATTTCAAAAATTATTGTTTTAACTTTGTCTTCACGTGAGTATGACATTGTATCGTTCTTGTATTGTTGTAATGCTTTGTATAGATGTTTCCTTATAGAATTCGTGTATTTGATATATTCTTTAGGTTGGACATCGATTATTTCTGACCTATGAGCATCTTTTCGGAGTTCTATTTTTGTTTGTTGAGTATAGGTTCTGGAAGTTATCATAAAAGTTAATAAACTTTCATTTTTTTCATATCCACGTTTAACAGTTTTCACAGACAATTTGCTTCTGTAGTTGTTTGAATTATGAACTTTTTTACGAATTTGTCCCATATTTATAATATACACTGGTATTGGGATGGTACCTCACAAGGTCGCTTGATAGACCCGTAATTGATTCTGTGTGATAACATATATACAGATCAACGAAATTTCCACGTTCCACAAATTCATGAGCTACTTTGTCCATTATTATTAAAAATATTGTCGTCTATAAGGAGTCCAACTACATTTATCTATCATATCACAGAGATCAACCAAAAAATATCTAAATTCCTCGACCTTTCTTTCTTCTATCTGTTCAGCAGTCTCTGTAATATTATTCTCTACTCTTTTTCTTTCTTTCTCTTTTATATTAAATATTTTATTTTTATATGCATCTGATAAGAAATCAAGTATCGTATTGGGGTAGTCGTTATCTATTTGTAATATTGAAACATTATTACCAATTATCCTAGAATTTTTGGGATCCACAACAAGTTCAATTAAAACACGTTTAAAATAACTAGGGGGATAAACCATCCAACCATGACAATCACTGACTTCATGTCGATATATTCTTTTACCAGAACTAGATAATGGGGAACATTTTAGGGTGAGGTCACTTTCTATTAACTGGACATATGTTGGATAATGAGGGTTATTCTTATTATTATTTCGTTTTAATTGATTATAGTCATAAATACGGGAATCTGTAGCTGTTCTATCAATGGACATGATGGAAAATATTTCTGGAATGTGGACTTTTTGATGAGAATGTGAGTGAATTTATAATATGTTATTGTCTTGTCTTCGATTGTTGTTTTGGTTTCCAATGCCTTGAATAGGAAATCTAATTGTGGATTATTTGTTGGTGTGTCAGATGATACCTCATCATCTCTTATCAACAGATCACCGCACCAGGGTATTGATATTGAAATGTCATTGGTCTTTGATGAATCGGAGAAAACTACTAATAGATTTGAGGGATAGAGAAATTGTTTATCTTTCACATGATCCGAATCAATTAAGTAATCATATAGATCACAATCCTCTATAGAGTACCCAGGCATTTCCCAGATTCGAATGGGAAATGGATATATCTGGTTGAGGTGATGTATTCTACTGCTGAAAATTTGTTGAAAAAAGAAATGTTTTAAAGGACACAACTCCATTTGAATTAAGATATCCTCGGTGAAAGAGGCAATAGTCCTT